CTCCTGTCCTCCAGGCCGGTCCCTTCCCGCGCTCCTGCTGTCAGCCACAGGCACCTCCCTGATGGCCACAGGCTGAGCCTGCCGGGGGCAGCCGGGGTGGAGGCGTGGGACAGGCGGCTGTGGTCACCTGGCCTCCAAGCTGACCAGAGCGTGACCACGCCCCCCCCAGCCAGGCACCCACCAGGCACCCACCAGGGCAGGACAGAGGCCACAGCACTGAGTCATTGGCCACCTCTGCTGGTGTGGGAGGTCCTGGTTGGGAGGGAGCGGGCAGCTGTCACTGGGCATGTGCCCTCCTGAGTGGCCCTCTGGTCCTTGCTTTCTGCAGCTGTGACGTGCCCATCTCACAGGGAGTACCGGGCCTGTGGCCCCCCACAGGAGCCCACCTGCCAGTCCAGGTACGTCGTGTGACGAGTCCCCGACAGATGGGCTGGCAGGTGGCTCCCTCCCCATCCCACCGCCCTGGGCCAGAGGCCCCCCTGAGGRTCCTGTTCCTTCAGCTCCTCCCCACAGAACTCCAGCAGCCTGGTGGAGGGCTGCTACTGCCCCGAAGGCACCATGAGCTAYGCCCCGGGCTTCGATGTCTGCGTGAAGACCTGCGGTAGGCCACCCACCCACCCTCCTCAGGGTCCATGGGGCTGGGCCCAGGGCGGACCCCGCTCCCTACAGTGCCGAGCTGTGCTAACAGGTGTTTCCTTCCTCTCCCAGGCTGTGTGGGGCCCGACAACGTGCCCAGAGAGGTAGGCCTTCCCCTTTGTGCTGGGGGTCTCCCAAAAACCCTGAATTTGGGGGAGTGGAGTGGGGTCCGGTGGACATGAGACTGAGTAATCAGTCACTGAACCCTGGGATACTGATTTAGCAGGGACACCCACACACTCATCCACTGTCCATTTCTTTGTCCATCTGTCCATCCAAACATCTCTCCACCCACTTGTCCATCCACTCACCACCTGTCCATCTGTCCATCCATCCATCCTCTTATCACCTGGTCATGGATTTATTCATCTATCCATCACCCACACCCCCAGCCGACCCTCTCTCTATGCATCCACCTGCCTGCCCACCCTCGTGTGGTCTGTCAGCACTGGGGTGACACCTAGGCCACTGGGTGTGGTCTGCCTCCAGGGTAGGGTCAGGGCCCTGAGGCTCACTCCTGGCTCAGTTCTGCACAAACCTAAGTGATTTGAGAGGTGCCTTGGCCCCACACCAGGCCCGTGTTGGTGGGTGCTGGTGAGCAGCCTGGGACCCCAAGAGAGCARCTGCTGTCCTTCCCAGAGCCTGGCCTGTGAGCCAGGGGTGGGCAGGGATGTGGCTTCCCCTCAAGACCCCTTGGCCAGCTGCCTAGGACAGCCCTTTCCTGCTTGGCTGGCCACAGATGGGTCGCCTGCAGCCCTGCACGGTGGTGGGTGGGGCCCTTGGCTTCAGCAGCCCACGTGCTTCCTCCGCAGTTTGGGGAGCGGTTCGTGTTCGACTGCAAGGACTGCGTGTGTCTGGAGGGTGGCAGTGGCATCGTGTGCCAGCCCAAGCAATGCAGCCAGAGGACTCCGGTCAAGTGTGAGGAGGACGGCACCTACCTCGTCACCGAGGTCGACCCTGCCGACACCTGCTGCAGCATCTCCCTGTGCAGTAAGGCCAGCCGGAGCGGGAGGCAGGACCCTGGGCCCCACTGTCATGCAGCRGGCACCCTGTGGGCAGCCCCTGCCCTGGGAGCTCAGGATGTGGCCATCCCAGAGGCTGTGGGGCTCCACTGGTCMTCCCCCTGCAGGGGCTGGCCTGGGAGGGGTGCAGGGGAGCCCCCCGGGTGCAGGGGCCCTGTGCTCTGTGGCAGGAGGAGGGGCTTGGCCGGTGGGAAGCACCCTCCTTAGGAGTCTGCGTCACCTTCAGAGTGTAACACCAGCCTGTGCAGAGAGGAGCCCCCCTCGTGCCCGCTGGGCTTCCAGGTGAAGAGCCGGATGGTGCCCGGAAGGTGCTGCCCTGTCTACTCCTGTGGTACGTAGGGCTGGCTGGCGTGGCTGGGCTGTGCGGGAGGGCGGGCTACGGGAAGCGGCACCCTGGGGGTCCTGTCTGTGGATATGTCCTGAGCTGGGGYTAGGCCAGGTGGCCACTCAGGACAGCCTCTGAGGGCCTCTCCTGCTCTCTCCCAAGTGCCCAAGGGTGTGTGTGTGCACCAGAACGCAGAGTACCAGGTGAGCCCTGGGCTGGCAGTGGGGAGGTGGAGCAGGGAGGGGAGGTGGCGGCCCTTGCTCCCCGTGGGTGGGGAGGGGTGAGGCTGGGGCCTGGGCAGGTCCTCACCGCCTGCCTGTGCCGCAGCCTGGCTCCCCAGTGTACTCCTCCAAGTGTCAGGACTGCGTGTGTACCCACGCCGTGGACAACAGCACCCAGCTCAATGTCATCACCTGCACCCATGTGCCCTGCAACGTCTCCTGTGACCCTGTAAGCCCCAGCTGCCCTCCTTCCCCGCTCCCCATCTCAGGGCACCTCCTCCCCTCTCCCTGAGAAGCACACAGGCCCTGACGCTTCCGCGGAGTTGGTCACACTTCCTCCGTGCTCTCCTGGCCCACTCCGTCCCYGCCTCTCCACCTTGGCACCTACCCGGACTGCAGCCCCTCCAGGCAGGCAACCCCAGCAGCCCCAGGTGCCTCTGGGGTGCAGGACAAGCCTGCAGCTGGGCCTGGGCCTTGTYTGTCCACAGGGCTTTGAACTTGTGGAGGCCCCTGGCCAGTGCTGCAAGAAGTGTGAGCAGACCCACTGCATCATCAACAGGCCCAAAAGCCAGTACCTCATCCTGAAGGTGCGCCAGGGACACYCCCCAYGGCTGGGAGGTTCCACAGGGCGGGTGGGAGCAGAGAACAGGGGAACCCTGGCTCTGCTGGCCCAGTCCCCCAATTCTGGGTGCAGCTGTGGACAAGGGTCCTGGGGCTGCTGCAGCAATGTACACAGTGCGGTGGCTTAAGCCAGCAGGACTCGATTCTCCCAGTTCTGGAGTGCCCAKCTCTGAGGTCCAGGCTCACAGGGCTGGGGAGGGGCAGCCACCGGGAGGCTCTGCCTCCCGTCTCCAAGTGGCTCCTTCCCKGCGTCTGTGTCCTCCTCTGCCTCTCATAAGGGTGCTGCCCCTGGCTTTGGGGCCAYGCTAATCCAGGATGACCTGGTCTCAAGATCTTTTGTTTAGCTTCATCTTTAAGTGTCCCTCTCCCAAATGGGGTCASTTCATAGGTCTGGGCACAGCTTCCTGGGATGGGGACAGAACCTTTTTGGTGATGTGGGCTGCAGGCAGGCGCCTGTCCCGAGACCCCTGGTCCTCGTGCCTGGTGCTGCTGGGCCTGCAGCTGGTCTGGTCTGAAAAGCTGCTCTTGTCGTGTCCCCACTCGGTCCTGGTTTGTGTCTCTGGGCTGCAARACCTTCCCACGTGTCCTCACTGATGCTCTCTCTGCAGCCCGGGGACATTCAGAGCAACCCCAACAACAAGTGCATGTTCTACAGCTGCATGAAGGTCCACAACCAGCTCATCTCATCCGTCTCCAACATCTCCTGCCCTGACTTTGACCCCAGCCGCTGTGTCCCAGTGAGTGGGCCCCTGGGGCGTGGGTCTACCATGCTCTGCCCAGAGTGGGGCCCCCAGTGTTCCTGAAAGGCTGGTCCAGTGCTGGGACATGGCCTCAGGCTTTGTCCTGGGCTCCSGCAGGAACCACCCCTTCCCAACCCCGTGTCAGGAAGGGGGTGCCCGTCCACTCGGGAAGTCTGGGGGACCCAGGCTCATTCTCCTTTCCCCCCAGGGCTCTATCACACTGATGCCCAATGGATGCTGCCAGAGATGTGAGTACCGTCTGGCAGGCACGGCCTGGTGGTGGGTGCCACAGAGCCCCTGGAGGGAGGAAGGTAGACAGGAGGGTGCCCCAGAGCCTGTGCCCGCTGTGCCGTCCTCTCTCACACTATGCCCAGGAAGAGGCAGGAGGGAGCCCAGCTGGAGGCTGAGGGCTGCCCCTGGGGGATCGGTGGTGCCAGGTTGGGGGCTGCTGGACTTGGGCGGAGGAGAGGAAGTGAGAGCTGGTGTGAGACCCCTGCCCCTTGGCCTCCTCCCAGGCATCCCTCTCAACGAGACCAGGGTCCCCTGCGCCACCATCCCGGTAATCAGGGAGATCTCAAGGGCCGGCTGCACCAAGAATGTCACCATGAACTACTGCTCCGGGTCCTGTGGGACTTTCGCCATGTGAGTCCCASGCTAAGCCTGTGCCCTGGTGGGGAGCCTGGAGGAGTCCAAAAAGAGGCCGGGGGCGGGGCGAGGCTAGCCCCGCCTCCGGGGAGGCGGCCCCTCACCCCGTCCTCGCCCCCAGGTACTCGGCGCAGGCCCAGGCCCTGGACCACAGGTGCTCTTGCTGCAAGGAGGAGAGGACCAGCGAGCGCGAGGTGGTGCTGGACTGCCCCAACGGGGGCACGCTGGCTCACACCTACACGCACATCGAGAGCTGCCTGTGCCAGGACTCCGTGTGCGGGCTCCCGCTGGCGCAGCAGAGCCGCGTCCGCCGCTCCAGCCCCCGGCTCCTAGGGAGGGCGTGAGCCGGGAGGCGCTGGCCCCACCGCTGACCTGCCTCGCCCCTTCCCCCTGAGCTTGGATTCCTCTCTGTGGATATTTATTTTCTGAGGCTTTGTTGGATCTTTCGCTTTCTGATAATAAACTCAGGCAGAGATACTGTACTGGTGTGGTCTGAGTTGATGCCCCTTGGCCCCTGGGCGGCAGGGTCCAGGGGTGTGGGGGTGGGGTGCCTCAGAGAGGGCCCTGGGTCCCCCACGGTCCGGCCACCAGTGTGCACACAGGACCCAGGGATCCTGGCTTTGCCCAGTACTGCCCAGAAAAACCAGCCCCTAGCTCTCTGGCTGTGCCAAGCCCTGGCTGGGCAGCTTGACCTCAGGCTGTGAGCCGGTCCCAGGGTCTCTCATGGCCATTTCCAAGGCTTTCTGCTGCTGGGGGATTTCAGTCCAGCACCAGCTGTGGGGTCAGTGTGTGCCTGTGTGCGTGGGTCTCTCTGGGTTTCTACCCCGGAAAAGCCAAGAGAACCAGCTCCCGCTGCAAACTGGCCAGAAGTGGCCGTGGCTGGCTGGCCAGGGTTGCAGGCAGCTTCCAGCCAGAGCCCGCCAGGCCTCCCACTAGCCTGAAGGCACAGTGGACGGCTGGCCACGCGTAGGTGTGTGACCTCAGACACAGTGCCCTCACGTGTTTGGGAGCTGAGGCCCTGGCTTTCTGGGACTCATGGAGGCTGGTGGAGGCTGCCCGCCTGTGGTGGGTGTGTGCAGAGAAGCCCCCACCTCCTCTCTCAAGGCAGCAGGCAGTGCTGGGGGAGCCCCAGGTGTCCCGGAGGAGGCCAGAGCACCAGCACCCAGTCTCACTGCGAGCCTTGCTGCAGTGCCTCAGGGCGCACGGCACCGGTGCAGGGTCCAGAGCTGCCGGCCAGAGGCCAGAGCCCCTCTTCCTTCTCTCCACTCGAGGCCTCCTCGGGGCTGGGCTGAGACAGCTGCCCTCCCAGGCTGTCCAACCTCCGCCCGGGTCCCTCCCCACCTGCCCTCTGGACCCCAGGGAGGGCAGCAGCTGTGTGGCAGGGGCAGCGGGCTGAGGGCCTGTCGGGGTGCCCATGCCTTGGTGTCTCCCTGGTCCTGGAGGCTGCTCAGGGGTGGCAGTCTTCCCAGTGCCCCCAGCTGTCCTGGCCACCCCCTCTGGGGACCCAGAGCCCGCCGTGTCGAGGCCTACGGACTTCGTGGGAAGCCAGAGGGCCTGGGCCCACCCTAGAGCCCCTGGGTCCTCTGGCAGAGCAGATGTGCTGAGGGGACGTGGGCGGCCACCTCTGGCATGGCCATGCGGGGCCTGGTGCTTCAGAGCCTGTGCTTCCACGAAGTCTTCAAGGCCCGAGTCCCAAAGCCACTCCACGCCGCGTCTGGTGCTGGAGGGCAGGGGCCCTGAGCCGTTGTGTGTGGCCATGTGTCACTTCTCTGCCAGAGTGTGCCCTGATGGCAGCCCCAGGATGGCAGTGACCTGCGGGGTGGGATAGGGTGCTGTGGACAGAGCCCTGGTCAGGAAGAGGAGGAAGGTGCTGGCAGGTCCCTGGATCTATCTCTGGGCCTGCCACCGTGAAGCGGGTGTGAGTGAGGGTGCAGCTGGGCCCCTGCCTGCCCTTCCGTGCGGAACCCTTCATAAAGGGACCCCACCCCAAGCAGCCCACCCCTTCCCAGAATAGGCCCCTGGCCAACATAGGCCATAAAGCCCCCAGACATTAAACTCCACCTCACACAAAAGGTGTCAGCCACCGTGGAACTGAGGTAGACAGTAACAACCCAGGCCACTGGAAGATCCCCCTAAATTTGGGAATTGGGACACACACTTGTTTTTGTTTGTGGTGCTGGTGACAGCACCCAGGCTAGACRATCACTTACCACTGAGCAACACCCCRGCCTCTGGGACACACACTAAATAACCCACGGGTCAAAGAGGAGGCTCAAGAGAAGTTAGGAAATGTTTTAAATAGACTAAAAATGAAAGCAAAACTTATCAAAAAGGATTCCTTAGACCGTCACAGCATGTTTTCTTGTGTTGGTAAGAGGGAAGTCTCRATGGCCCATGTTCTACCTCAACACTCTAGCGGAAGACGAGTAGGTGGAGCTGGATCAAAGGAGGCTAACACACCCGTCCGGTGGCCTCCGGGAGCACCCACTTCACGGCTTCAAGCCCCAGACTCCGGGCACCCAGAACCGAAKGGGTCGAATCAGTGAGATGGAAAACTGGCCCCTTGCAAAGCGTGSGACAGGGCTACACACCCCACAGACCTCTCAAGGACTCGCCAAGGGAGACCATGGTGTCATGGGCTTGACCACTTGATGAGGCGGACACGTCCCTCCACAGAAGCAAGTTCACAAAACTGACCCAAGAAGAAAMAGGAATCAGCCCCATCTTGTCTTAGAAACCGGATCCATCACCCGCAGGCCTTCCTCAGGACGCCTTATCTGTGATTCTGTAAATCTTTAGAGAAGAAATAGCACCAACCCCATTTAAACTCTTGCAGRACGTAAGTGAGAAGGGAGCACTGTTGCCCACTGAGCCCCATCCCCAGCCCTCTTGATATTTTGTATTTGGAGACAGGGCCTGGCTAAGTTGCCGAGGCTGGCTTGGAACCCCTGATGCTCCAGCCTCAGCCTCCTGAGCTGTTGAGGGAAACATCTCTCAGCCCATCTTGCAGGTTTGCATCTCTCCAGATTCCGGAAGCAGTGATGTGGTGAGAAACAGCTGTCGGTGCCTGCCAGGAGCAGAGGTACAGAGCCCAGGGAGGAAAGYTGTGAGGCCGTCCGGCAGCGTGGCCCAGGAAGGGGTGGCCAGGGCGACTCTCCTGTCAATACAGCACAGGAGAAAAGCATAGTTAGAGGAGAAGGACGGGCAGCCCTGGGGACCCGCCAGAGAGCTGAAGGACACCTGGACCACAGAGCGGGAGGGCCACCCAGGGGGGCAGAAGACAGTGTGTGGGTAGGTGGCCCCGCAGAACCCACAGAGCCCCCACCAACGAGCTCCGCCTGCAGGAGCCAATCGTGTGTCTATGTACAGGGACTAAGTCAAAGCAAACAACTCCACTTACAATAGTCTCAAACACACAACGCGTGGGAAGACATTTAACAAGGTGGTGCAAGAAATGTAAACTGAAGGCCACAACACATCCCAAAGCTAGATTTAAAAAGACTTAAGTAAGAGGAGATGTAGGCTAAGTTCATGGGCAAGAAGGTTTGGTATTGGTGAGGTAGCTGCCCTCCTTGAATCTACCTGAAGAGTCACGAAATACAATCCCTCACGGTCCTTTTGGAAGCAATTGGCAAGCTACTTTTGTTTATTATTATTATTATCATCATCATCATCATCATTAATATTATTAGTTTTCTCCCTTTTTCCGTATTTTAAACAGGTGCATTGTACTTGTACAGGTTGTTGTTGCAGGTTCAATATGTGATGTCCACACACACAATGCAGCAGTGTGGCCTGGCCAGCGTCCCTCCCCTGCACTCTCCCTTCCTCCCTTCCCCCCACCCCTGGTCCTATCCTCTACTGACCTTCCTTTGATTTTCATGAGATACACCCACGRTCTCTTCTCCTTTTTCCTCTCGAGCCTCTGCTATGAGAGAGAGCATATGACCCTTGACCTGAGTCTGGCTTGTTTCACGTAACACAATGCTCTCAGGCTCCGTCCATGTTCCTGCACGTGCCATAGTTTCCTCTTTATGGCTGACTAAAACTCCACTGTGCATGTCCACCACATTTTCTTTATCCACCCGTCCATCGAGGGACACCTGGGCTGGCTCCATCATCTGGCAGCTGGGAATGGTGTGTGTGTGTCACTGTAGTGAGATGACTCTGACTCCCCAGGGTCAATACCGAGGAGTGGGACAGCTGGGTCACGTGGAGGGTCCCTGCCTGGTCTTTTAGGAGCCTCCCTACTGATTTCCACAGGGGTCGTGCTGATTCACAGTCCACCCACAGTGTAAAGGGTTCCTCTCCCGCATCCTCCAGCATGTGTTGTTCACACCCTGATGGCGGCCCTCCTGAGGGGTGTGGGACACAGCTCAGTGTGGTTCTGAGTTGCCTTTCCCTAATTGTTAATGATGCTGAACATTTTCCATGATTTCTTGCCCATTTGAACTACTTCTTTTGAGAAGTGTCTGTTTAGCTCATTTGCCGATTTATTAATTGRGTTRTGTGGTTCTTCAGTTTTCAGTTTTCTAGCTATCAATCCTCTGTCAGAAGAAGAGTTGGCAAATACACGCGGGAAGGTGCATCCTGTGYCCAGAGGGCACCAGAAGTCCTGTGGCCCATTGCATCGGGATGGACAGAGCATGGGCCTAGGCCTCCATGGGGCTCTTATAGAAGGTGGTACCTTACCAGTTGGCTGGTAAGTTCATGAAAAGATGCTTAGCGTTAGGACCTGCCCAGTCATCGCAGGGGAAAGCCACCGGGTGAGGCCGCTGGGAGCGTGGAGCGCTCCTGTGCCTCAAGGCCGTGGCGTGTCCAGTCAGCCTGCCCCAGCCAGTTTACCAGGAAGGGAGCCCAAGCCGCACGGCTGGTCCATGAATGCTTACGGCAGCCCCCTTCAAAACTCCCAGACCCAGGAGCAACCTGGGGCCCGAGCATCGAGGTCTGTGTCGATGGGTGCTCAGCCACGGGAAGGAGCCAGGGCGGCCGGCAGGGGCCTCAGGGCGTCATGCTGCGGGAGGACACGAGGAGACTGCGGGGTCTACACTTGGGCAGTTGCGTGGGTAGACTCACAGAGACGGAGGCCAGGCGACACCTAGGACCGGGGAATGGACTGCCGGTGGCACAGGTGAGCTCTTTGGGTCCCTTGCCTTGTGTGTGGTGCTGGTAACACAACTGCATGCCATCACTAACCTCATAACACCACACTCCCCGGTGGAGCGTCCTGATGGGTGTCCGCGTGAGCGCAGAAGAGTAAGAATAAGGCAAGCCTCGCTCCTGGGACAGCCACGCTCTTCAGCTCCTGTCTGCAGTCGGCCCCTGGGCTGGCTCAGCGGCTGTC